AGCAGCAGCAGCAGCAGCAGCAGCAGCAGCAGCAGCAGCAGCAGCAGCAGCAGCAGCAGCAGCAGCAGCAGCAGCAGCAGCAGCCAGCAGCAGCAGCAGCAGCAGCAGCAGCAGCAGCAGCAGCAGCAGCAGCAGCAGCAGTGCGGGAAAAGCCGCAGCAGAGCTGCCTCTGCACTCCCCAGCACCCAGGCCTCGAAACCCCGAGCGCCCAGGGCTCACGCGTAGCGTTTAGGGTTTAGGGTTTAGGGTTTAGGGTTTAGGGTTTAGGGTTTAGGGTTTAGGGTTTACGGGGACGAAGAAGTCGATGGTTTTGCGTTTGCGCTGCCGCGTGTAGTAGTCCGCAGACCAACAGGGTCTGTGTCTGTTGAAGTAAAGGCCGGTGAGTTCGCTTTTGGGCAAACTGTCGAAGTCCACTCGAAAGGCAGCAGCTTTGAGGCTTCTGAACTCTTCCGGAGTCAACATGCGCCGCGACCAACGCGCCACTTCCTGCGCAAACCCTAAATTAGGGTTTAGGGTTTAGGGTTTGGGGTTTGGGGTTGGGGTTTGGGGTTTGCGCGCGGGCGCGCGGGCGCGCGGCCAAGCAAGGTCGAAGCCACGCGCAGAAGGGGGCACGACACCGGCTTTCCCCGGTAGGGCTTAGGGTTTAGGGTTTAGGGTTTAGGGTTTAGGGTTTGGAGCTGCTGCTGCTGCTGCAGCAGCAGCAGCAGCAGCAGGGGCAGCGGGACTAACCTTGATGGGGTAGTCGTGCGGCTCCAGCACTGGGAAAAGCATATCATAGGAAATGCCAACTGCTGCGAGGGTTTCAGGCGTGATGGGCTCTGTTGCTGCTGCTGCTGTTGCTGCTGCTGCTGTTGCTGCTGCTGCTGCTGCTGCTGCTGCTGTGTCTTTGAACTCTTCTTTTGCTTCTTCTGCTTCGCGCTGCTCCCAAAGACAAACTTCATCTCCAGTGCTTTCCGTCAGGTGTCCAGACAGCTCGGCTTCTTCGGCGGCGGGCGCTTCAGCAGCAGCAGCAGCAGCAGCAGCAGCAGCACAGGTCCTCCCGTCGCTGCTGCTGCTGCTGCTGCTGTTGCTGCTGCTGCTGCTGCTGCTGCCGCGGGGCGAGGGGGGGTCCGCGAAGTGCAGCAGCGGCAGCACGTCGGGGGGCTCGAGCAGCACCAATGGCCCGTTGTAAGCAGCAGCAGCAGCAGCTGCAGCAGCAAACCGCTCGCCTCCTCTTTCTTCCTCCATTATGTTTAGGGTTTAGGGTTTAGGGTTTAGGGTTTAGGGTGATGAAGAGTTTTTTAAATTATTTTTTTTTATTTTTTTATTTATTTGTTTTTCGGAGCTTCTGCTTTGCCGCTTCCGCTGCCCAGCGAAATCAAAGGAAGAGGATATTTAAAGCTTCGGCCCAGTCTATGGCCTCCGCACTGCAAGCGAATAAGTGGCGAAATATTTAAATTAATTTCTAATAATAGTATTTATTTTTTAATTTAATTTTCAGATTTAAAATAAATGTTTTGTTTAATATCAAAATTAGTCCATCTGCACTGCTGCTGCTCTGCGGTGTACGTACACCTCAAACTCACTTCAAATGACTTAAAGCTCTCGTCAGCTGCAGCACAGAAACAAAACAAAATTAAAATTAAATTGAAGCCAAACCAGCAGCAGCAGCAGCAGCAGCAACAGCAGCAGCAGCAGCAACAGCAGCAACAGCAAAGTGACTACGCGCAGTAACACGAGCAACAGAACCTAACAGCAGCAACATCTACTGCAGCAAGCAGAGGGACCGGCACAGCAGCAGCAACAGCAGCAGCAGCAGCAGCAACAGCAGCAGCAGCAGCAGCAACAGCAGCAACAGCAGCAACAGCAGCAGCAACAGCAAATGCGACAACGAGACCGCCCAATGCAAATGACAAGAACAGCAGCAAGGGATTAACGGCGCAGAAGCAGCAGCAGCAAAGACAACAACACCAGCAGAGGCAGCAACAGCAACACCAACAGCAGCAGCAGCAGCAGCAGCACACTCGACACTTAGACAGCAGTAACAGCAGCAGCAACAGCAGCACTAACAGCAGCACTAACAGCAGCACCAACAGCAGCACTAACAGCAGCACCAACAGCAGCAGCACCAACAGCAGCAGCACCAATAGCAACAGCACCAACAGCAGCAGCACCAACAGCACCAGCACCAACAGCAGCAGCACCAACAGCAGCAGCACCAACAACAGCAGCACCAACAACAGCAGCAGCACCAACAGCAGCAGCACCAACAACAGCAGCAGCACCAACAACAGCAGCAGCACCAACAGCAGCAGCACCAACAGCAGCAGCACCAACAGCAGCAGCAGCACCAACAGCAGCACTAACAGCAGCAGCAGCACCAACAGCAGCACTAACAGCAGCAGCAGCACCAACAGCAGCACTAACAGCAGCAGCAGCACCAATAGCAGCAGTAACAGCAGCAGCACCACTAACAACAGCAGCAACAGCAGCAACAGTGCCAACAGCAGCAGTAACAGCAGCAGCAGCATCAGCAGCAGCAGCACCAATAGCAGCAGCACCAACAGCAGCAGCACCAACAGCAGCAGCACCAACAGCAGCAGCACCAACAGCAGCAGTAACAGCAGCAATACCAACAGCAGCAGTAACAGCACTAACAGTAGCCCCAATAGCAGCAACGCCAACAGCAGCAACGCCAACAGCAGCAGCACCAACAGCAGCAGTAGCACCAACAGCAGCAGCAGCACCAACAGCAGCAGCAGCAGTAACAGCAGCAGCAGCAGCAGTAACAGCAGCAGCAGCAGCAGTAACAGCAGCAGCAGCAGTAACAGCAGCAGTAACAGCACCAGCAGTAACAGCACCAGCAGTAACAGCACCAGCAGTAACAGCAGCAGTAACAGCAGCAGCAGTAACAGCAGTAACAGCACAACACCAGCAACAGCAGCAGCAGCAGCAGCCGCAGCAGCAGCAGCAGCAGCCGCAGCAGCCGCAGCAGCAGCAGCAGCAGCAGCAGCAGCTGACCCAGTTCTTTGTGCTTGAGGAGCCGTTGGGGCGGCGATGTCTGTGGCGGTGTTTGGCGAAGGTGAAATTAAAGGTCTTTGTTGGTTCTATTGTTTGTTTTAAATGAATAAATGATTAAAATTAAATTAAATTAAATTAAATTAATTAATTAAATTTCTACTGATTGCTGGCCCGCCTGAAAGGCTGCAGCAGCAGGAAGAAGGGGAAGGACAACGGGCGGAAAAGAAGCAGCAGCAGCAGGCAAAATCATAAAACGAGAACCCTCCCTTGCTGCTGCTGCTGCAGCACCACTGGTTCTGCTGCTGCTGCTGCTGCTGCTGCTGTTGCTGCTGCGGCCGGCGCCGCAAGTGAAGAGAAGGGCGGGGGGAGGGAACTGAGGCTTCAAATGGAACAAAGAAAGAAGAGCGAACAATAAACCTCACTAAACGAAACGCACCAGCTCAGCAGCAGCAGTTGCTGCTGCTGCTGCAGCAACTGCAGCAGCAACTGCAGCAGCAGCGAGACTGCAGCGGTCCGCCTAGGCAGCGCCTCGCGCAGGCGAGAAGGGGGGCTGAGAAAAGCAAATAACCTGAAGAGCCCCCGGCCCTCTTTGCAAATAAAGAAACAAACAATGATGCCACAAAACCATCAAAGAAAATCAAATGCTGCTGCAGCAAGTGTCTCGAGCTGCGGGGGGGAGGGAAGGCAGAGAGAGCCGAGCCGCGCGTGCGCGCTGCTGGGGTGTACATACAGCTCTTCCCAACCGTTTTTTCCCGTTTTTCTTCTTTTTTTTTATTCCTTTATCTCCAAAACTTCTTCGCCGTCATTTTAAACCCAATTACACGCTTTTGCAGCTACTTTTGGCCCCGGTTTGGCCTTCCTCCGCGCCCCCGCCTCATCACAGACCAGCCAAGTTCTTGTCTTGCCACGGCGCTGCTGCGGGGGCTTCGAGCCCCCTTTTTCCCCCTTTTAATTCACCTTTGCAATTAATTTGAATTCTCTGTTTTAAATCTTTTCCTCTTTCTCTAAAAAGTTCAGTTTTATAGCTCGAAACGGCGTCGCTCCACCCCCCTTTGCCCCCCAGCCACGCGGGGCACCATCGAGCACGCCACCGGGCCGCAGGACTCCCTCCGCGCACCCTCTTTGACCAACTTTGACTAATTTAAATTCCCTTTTTATTCCTTTTTATTATTTTCTCCCAAATTCGCTTTCAATTCACTTAAAACTGCGCAAATCCGCAGCCAGGACCTCCACTGGCGCCCCAGCAGCTGCTGCTGCTTTCCGGTGGCGAGCTGCTGCGCGCGCGCGCAGCCTTCTGGGGGCTTTCTTTATATGATTTTAAACTTTAAAAAGATAAATAAATTTACTTTTAACTTTTATTTCTTAAAAGCACTTCTTAATTGCAAAGCCAGCACCGCCAACGCCCCGCGGGACCCCGTGGTCCACTGGTCACGTGGCGGGGAGGTCCCCCGCTACCCTTCGCCTAAACCCTAAACCCTAAACCCTAAACCCTAAACCCTCTCGTGCATGCAGAACTCTTTTTTTTGAATTTTGTTTTCAATTATTTTTCGCCAATTGCCAGCAGCCCCGCAGCCGCGGCCCCCCCGCATGCTGCTAATAGTGAATGCATACATGCACATCTGCTTTAAAGCTAGCCAGCTAGCCACCAGCTAGCTAGCCACCAGCTAACTAGCCACAGGCTAGCTAGCTGCTGGCTATCCAGCTGCTCGCTAGCTAGCTGCTAGCTAGCTAGCTGCTGGCTAGCTAGCTAGCTCTTGGCTAGCTATTTAGCTGATCGCCTCTACCTAGCTGGCGGCTAGCTAGCCAACTGCTAGCTAGCTAGCCAGCTGCCAAGGACAGCTAGCTAGCGGCCCACTATCTAGCTACCCGCTGGCTAGCTAGCTAGCCACTAGCTAGCTAGATAGCTAGCTGCCAGACGTATGCAGCCTTACCAGGGTACAAGAACCTCTGGGGGCCCTGGGGGCCCCTGGGGGCCCCTGGGGGCCCCAGGGGGCCCCTGGGGGCCCCTGGGGGCCCCTGGGGGCCCCTGGGGGCCTCTGGCCAGTAAAACGGCTGCTGTAGCCGCTGAGGTGTACGTACACCTCGCGGGCCTCGAAGGCAACAGAGTAGAACTTGAATTTGCTGCTGCAGCTGCAGCAGCTGCAGCAGCTGCAGCAACTGCAGCAGCTGCAGCAACTGCAGCAGCTGCAGCAACTGCAGCAGCCGCAGCAACTGCAGCAGCTGCAGCAACTGCAGCAGCTGCAGCAACTGCAGCAGCTGCAGCAAAGCAACTGCAGCAGCTGCAGCAACTGCAGCAGCTGCAGCAACTGCAGCAGCTGCAGCAAAGCAGCCAGTATATGTGGGTACTGCATAAAAAGCTATTTATGAACTTTGCCAGTTTGTTGTTTATAAAGGGAGATGTAGGCAAATGTACTTCATATATATTTCAAATGTACTTCATATAAACTTCTAATATATATTATACTATAAAAATAATATATATATATATTTATATATATATATATATATAATATTTATATATATATATATATAATTTTTATATACATTTATTATATATGAGTAGATTGCGTAATTTATAAAGATATATATTTATATGCATTTATAAATATATACATTTATAAATATATATGCATTTGTAAATATATGTATACATATATGTTTATATTTATATATATATATATATATATATATATATATATATATATATATATATATATATATATATATATAATATATGCATATATATATATATATATATCTTTATGTGGGTGCACATGCATGCACTTATATATGGCATTTCTTTGCATGCATTAATGCATGCATGCATTAATGCATGCATACAAAATTAATGCATGCATGCATTAATACATGCAAATAAATCAACGCATGCATGCACTGATGCATGCATGCAATTAGTGCATGCATGCATTAGTGCATGCATGCATTAGTGCATGCATGCATTAATGCATGCTGCACTGCAGTGTACGTACAGCCCCATCTCTGCAGCTGCATGCATGCAACAAAAATGAAACTTCATAAATTTTTATTGCTGCATGCATGCACGGATGCATGCATGCACTAGTGCATGCATGCATCAGTGCATGCATGCATGTGAGACCCGAGGGGCCCCCAAGGGGCCCCCAAGAGGCCCCCAAGGGGCCCCCATGGGGCCCCCAAGGAGAATCCAAGGGGCCCCCAAGGGGCCCCCCTTATTATTTTCAAGGAGGGCTTTTAAGGGGAGGATTCATTTGGGATCTTTAAATATGTTTTAAGGGGTTTTAAAAAAAACCTATTTATGGGCCCCCAGACGCTCTCGAACGACACCCAGAAACCCTAAACCCTAAACCCTAAACCCTAAACCCTAAACCCTAGGGGCCCCCGAGTTGGCCCAAGGAAACCCCTATAAGAGTCCTTGAGTGCAGCAGCAGCAGCAAAGTGCTGCATGTAAATAAGTAAATGTGAATTAAGTGCGTGGGGCCCCTATGAAGGCCGCTTGGGGGCCCCCATGAGGGCCCCTAGGGGGCCCCTAAGGGGGCCCCCAGGGGGCTCCTAGGGGGCCCCTAAGGGGGCCCTTTGGGGCCCTTCAAAGTCACCCTGAGGGGCCCCCTAGAGGCCCCTCTAGGGGCCCCCTAGAGGACCCTCTAGGGGCCCCCTAGAGGCCCCTCTAGGGGACCCCCTAGAGGCCCCTAAGTGCCTCTATGGGGGGCCCCTAAAGGCCCTCTAATGGCCCTTTTGGCAGCTAAGGGCCCCCACTAAAAGGGCCCCGGGGGGCCCCCTTGGGGGCCCCTCAGAACTCCTCAGGGGCCCGTTGGGGGCCCCCCAGGGGCCCCTAGGAGGCCCCCATGGGGCCTCCTAGGGGCCCCTAAAGGGGGCCCCTCTAATAGATCTCTCCTAAAAGGGGGCCCCTAAGGGCCTCTAAAGCAATTAAGTTTCTCCCAAGTACTTTCAGGGGCCCCTAAGGCCCTCTAGTTGGCTTGAAAAGGGGCCCCCTGGGGGCCCCTGGTTGGGTGCAAAGGGGGCCCCTGGGGGGCCCCCAAATTGTTCGTGGGGGGGCCCCCCTGGGGGGCCCCCCGGGGAGCCCCCAAGGGGAGCATTTGGGTGTGTTTTTCGCTGTGGGGTGCTGCAGCGGGTGAAATGGTATAGCTGCTGCTGCTGCTGCTGCTGCTGCTGCTGCTGCTGCTGGTGCTGGTCTGTTTCAGCAAGACCGCGCATGCACCACTGGTCTTGGGCAAGTAAGAGGCTGTGGCCCCAGCCTGCTCCCTCTGCAGCAAATAAGAAGTGAGAGCAGCAGCAACAACGAGCAGCTCAAACCCCACAGTTGCTGCGCAGTTGCATGCAGACAGCAGCAGCAGCTGCTGCTGCAGCAGCACAGGCAGCGGCACCAGCCCCAGCCACACGTAGAACTCCCCGCGGGCCCTTTCAGCCAGCTGCAGCAAATCCATGAACACGCGGTGCAGCAGCGACACGAGGCCCCAGTCTGCTGCTGCTGCTGCTGCTGCTGCTGCTGCTGCTGCTGGCGAAGAAACGTGCGAAGCAGGCGCAGCAGCAGCAGGAGGAAATAACAAAAATGAAAAGCAAAGGCCCGCTAGCAGACACATGTAGGCCACGCAGCGGCGATTTCGCAACAGGCCTGCAGCAGCAACAGCAGCAGCAGCAACAGCAGCAGCAGCAGCAGTGGCAGCAAAGGCAAAGGCAGCAAAGGCAAAAGGCCGCCAGCAGCAGCAACAGCTGCAGCAGCAGCTCCGGCTAGACCCGCCGCTGCCCCAGCAGCCTCAGCGACAGCAGCAGCAAAAAGGTCAGCAAAGACCACAAGCAACAGCACCAGAAGCAGCAACAGCAGCAACAGCAGCAGCAGCAGCAGCAGCAGCAGCAGCAGCAGCAGCAGCAGCAGCAGCAGCAGCTCACCCTGCCTCCACTGCAGGCCCGTGGTGCCCAGAGCAGCACAAACGTAAATATATTGCAAAGCAGAAAAGAGGAAGACAGAAGTATTGACTACACTTGATAAACCTGAGACACAAGCGCGCAAGCTGCTGCTGCTGCTGCTGCTGCTGCTGCTGCTGTGGCTGCTGTTGCACATGGGGTTCTTGCTGCTGCTGCTGCAAGTTGGTAGCAGCAGCAGCAACACGTGCGCTCCTAATCAACGGCAGCAAATGAAGTATCAACTACAGCAGCAGCAAGGGGGTAGAAGAACAAAAGGAAATAGGGGCAGCAGCAGCAGCAACAACAACAGCATCAACAGCAGCAGCAGCAGCAGCAGCAGCAGCAGCAGCAGAACCTACCGTGCTGCGGCTGTGCCGAAGCCTGTGGTAAGCACAGCATCAAAGCGATTATCAGGAAAGACACCTGAATAATACCCTGCAGCAGCAGCAGCAGCAGCAACACCAGCAGCAGCAGCAATAGCAGCAGCAAAAGCAGCAGCAAAAGCAGCAGCAGCAGCAGAAGGAAAGCACCAAGATATGCTGCAAGCCGCCTCTTCAGCAGCAGCTGACTGCCCTAGATCGGCAGCAAAAAAGTGGAACGAGAAATAAATTAATTAATTAATTAATTAATTAATTAATTAATTAATTAATTAATTAATTAATTAATAGATAAATAAATAAATAAATAAATAATGAAAATAAATATTTTATTCTTCAGCAAAAGACTCTAATATCAAATTCGGCATCCAGCAGCAGGCAAATCACTCGAACAAATGAATTAATTAAAAATTAAAACAATAAAATTAATTAATTAAGTTAATTAAATTAAATAAACTAATTAATTTAAATGTTATTTAAGCTGCAGCAAGCCGCAGCAGCAGCAGCAGCAGCAGCAGCAGCAGCAGCACCTGGCCTGCAGCAGAAAGCACCACGGGAGCAGCAAAAAGACTTTGCTGCGGCGAAAAAGGTGACAGCCGTTTTGCTGCTTGAGATCCCGAAAGAAAAAAAGAAAGCGGAAGAATTGTCAAAAGGTCCACCCACATGTACTGCAGCACAAACAGCAGCAGCAGCAGCAGCAACTGAGCAGCAGCAGCAGCGAAGGTCAACAGCAGCAGCAGCATCCCCAGCACCCCCCAGCAGCATCCGCAGCACCCCCAGCAGCAGCAGCAGCAGCAGCATCTGCAGCACCCCCAGGAGCAGCAGCAGCATCCGCAGCATCCGCAGCACCCCCAGCAGCATCCGCAGCATCCGCAGCACCCCCAGCAGCAGCAGCATCCGCAGCATCCGCAGCACCCCCAGCAGCAGCAGCATCCGCAGCACCCCCAGCAGCAGCAGCATCCGCAGCACCCCCAGCAGCAGCAGCAGCAGCATCCGCAGCATCCGCAGCACCCCCAGCAGCAGCAGCAGCAGCAGCAGCAGCAGCAGCAGCAGCAGCGGACTTGAGCGTCGCTGAGGTTTTGTCCGAAGTGGTAGAGGCAAACGACAGTGGAAAGTTGAATGAGAGAATAGCATCCGCAGCATCCGCAGCACCCCCAGCAGCACCCCCAGCACGTCGTCGTCGTCGTCGTCGTCGTCGTGCAGCAGCAGCAGCAGCAGCAGCAGCGGACTTGAGCGTCGCTGAGGTTTTGTCCGAAGTGGTAGAGGCAAACGACAGTGGAAAGTTGAATGAGAGAATAAAGAGTTATGAAGAGAACAGCACTTGTGCTGTTCTGCAGCACGCAGCGGCCCTCCCGCAGCAAATTGACGCAGTTGAACAAACTCGAAGTGCTGAAGTTTGCTGCTAAAGAGGCCCCCGCAGCAGCTGCTGCCCCCCTGCTGCTGCTGCTGCTGCTGCTGCTGCTGCTGCTGCTGCTGCGGATGCTGCGGATGCGGATGCGGATGCGGGAGGGGGGCGCGGAGGAGGCGCGGGAGGCCGCGCTGTCGGACTCGCTGCTGCTGCTGCTGCTGCTGCTGCTGCTGCTGCTGCTGCTGCTGCTGCTGTCGGCTGAGACGCACACCTACGGGCACAGACGCATGGGCAGTTGCCAGACAAAATGCAAAGCAGCAGCAACAGCAGCTGCAGCTGCCACTGCAGCAGCAGCAGCAGCTGCTGCTGCTGCTGCTGTTGACTCTTTTCTGCTCCCCCTGCTGCAGCTGCTGCAGCTGCTGCAGCCCCTGCTGCTCCCGCTGCTGTAGCCTCTGCCTATATCCCTGCTGCTGCTGCTGCTGCTGCTGCTCTCCCTGCCCCCTGCCTTCGCCCCTGCCTTGGCCCCTGCCCCAGCCCCTGCTGCTGCTGCTGCTGCCGCTGCTGCTGCTGCTGCTGCTGCTGCTGCTGCTGCTGCTGCTGCTGCTTACCCCCACGTCTGCGCGTTTGATGGCGAGCAAGTCATTTGTGCCGTCGCCGACCATTCCCACAAATGGAGAAGACGGAAGCTGCTGCAGCGCAGACACGAAGTCCCCTTTGTCCTGCAGCAAACAATAAATAAATAAATAAATAAATAAATAAATAAATAAATAATAAATAAATAAATAAATAAATAAATAAATAAATAAATAAAATAATTAATTAATTAGTAAGAATAGTGGAGTCAGGGGAAAGGGAGAGTAAATATGAGGTCAGGGAGCAGCAAGGCAAGTGAGCAGCAAATATGCAAATGTACAAATGAGCTAATTATTTAATAATTAATTAATTAATTAATTAATTAATTAATTAATTAATTAATTAATTAATTAATTATTAAATAATTAATTATTTATTTAATAATTAAATAATTAATTAATAATTAAATAATTAGCTAATTTATCAATTAAATAATAAACAAACAAATAAATAAATAAATGAATAAGTGAATGAATAAATACGTAATAAATAGTTAATTAAAAGTAAAAAAATACTAAATGAGAAAATAAATAAGTAAGTGATAAATAGTTAGTTGAAAATAGATAAATAATAAATAAATATGTAATAAATGGTTAATTAAAAATAAATAAATAAAACAAACAAAAAATAAATAAATAAATATGTAATAAACAGTTAATTTAAAAAATTAAATAATAAACATGTAATAGAAAGTTAATTAAAAATAAATAAAAAAAAATAAATAAAAAAATAAATAAATAAATAAGTAAATAAATAAATAAATAAATAAATAAATAAATGGCGGAAATAAATAAAAGTTGAGAGACGGCAGAGGAGGCAACAAGGGCGCATCTGCTGAAGAAGCAGAAGAAGAATTAAAAGAAATAAATTAAATAAATTAGTTAAATTAAATTAAATTAAATTAATTAAACTAATTAAATTAAAATAAATTAAATTAAATTAATTTAATTAATTAAATTCAATTAATTAAATTTAATTAATTAAATTAAATTAAATTAATTAAATTAAATAAATTAAATAAATATTTATTTCAAAGAAGCTGCAGCACCTGAGGCGTCGCTCGGCACAGCAGCAAAGTGCGTCTTAGAGCAAATTCGTAAACAGACATTTTGAAGTGCTGCTCATGTCCCGGCCTGCAGCAGCAACTGCTGCTGCTGCTGCTGCTGCTGCTGCTGCTGCTGCTGCTGCTGCTGCTGCTGCTGCTGCTGCTGCTGCTTCTGCTGCTGCTGCTGCTGCTGCTGCTGCTGCTGCTGCTGCTGCTGCTGCTGCTGCTGCTGCTGCTGCTGCTGCGCTGCTGCTGCTGCTGCTGGGGCTGTGGGGCCAGCCTTGCTGCTGCGGCTGGCGCCCATTAGCAGTGCTGCAGCAGCTGCTGCTGCTGCTGGCGGCTGCGGCCGCTGCGCACCTGCTGCTGCAGCTGCTGCTGGCAGCAGCAGCAGCAGCAGCAGAGGGGCGTCTGCAGCAGCAGCTGCTGCTGCAGCGCCAAGATGAAAGAGTTAAGACCATTCCTTCAAAAGCCTTGAGACAATTTTCATGATGCATTAAATCTGTGAGGCCTCCAGCAGCAACAAGAGGAGACACGGGGGCTTCCAGCTTCAGCGCCAAGTGCTGCTGCTGCTGCTGCTGCTGCTGCTGCAGGTAAGCTTCCCTTTCCCGTTCCTGCTGCTGCTGCTGCTGCTGCTGCTGCTGCTCAGTGTGCAGCAGCGGCTCTCGCAAGGCCTCGCTGTGGCCATGTCGGACAAGCCCAAATCGACCTGCTGCAGCGCGCAGTTTCCCCAGAGACCAACTGCTGCTGCTGCTGCTGCTGCTGCTGCTGCTGCTGCTGCTGCTGCTGCTGCTGCTGCTGCTGCTGGAAGGAGAAGAGCGCTGCCCCGCGAAAGAGGGAACAACACGAGCAGATCTTTGCTGCTGCCGGCAGAAGCGCAGCAGCCAGCTGAGGGGCCCTCGGGGGCTCCCACACGGTTCTTCAGTGCCTGCTGCTGCTGCTGCTGCTGCTGCTGCTGCTGCTGCTGCTGCCTCTGCTGCTTCCGTCCTGTGGTACTCTGGATGGTGCAGCAGCTGCTGAATTCGGTCAACGCGAGACAGAGAAGCATGTGCTGCTGCGTCTGGCAGCAGCAGCTCTCCGGGGTGCTGCTGCTGCAGATCCCCCAAGTGCTGCTGCAGCGCATCTGCTGCTTCCTGCTGCAGCAGTTCCTCGTCCGCCTCATGCTGCTGCTGCTGCTGCT